TGTGAATTACACTGATTTATTTACCCAGCTCCCATTGAGGGACATTTGGATCGGCTTCAATTTTGCTATTACAAAAACCACTGCAATTAATATCTCTTTTGCAACTTGTGTTTGTGTCTTTGCCAATGTATTTTTGGAATTGAGATGGCTAGGGCAAAGGATAATTTGTATGTAATTTTACTAGGTGTTGCTCAATTTTGCCACTTGCCAATGCATTTTACATGCTGACCAGCACAGTGTAACAGAAACCCTTACCTAGTACATGACCAACAACATTGACGCTTTTGCCTATCTCATAGTTGAGAAACAGTATTAGAGCATAAGTTTAATTTGCACTTCTCTATTAATGATTAAGTTGGAAATCTTTTTATAGATTAATAGCCATTTGAAATTTCTCTGTGAACTTTTTTAAATTTTGTGTATTTTCAGTTGGGATGGTTTGCAGATGTATTTTTTTGTTTGTTTAGAATCTGTGTGTGTGTGTGGTACTAAGGATTGAATTTGGGGCAGTTAAGCCATATCTTTGCCTACACTATCTTCCCTTTTGAGGTCTCAGTAACTGTGTCCAGGCTAGTCTTAACTCCCAATTCTGCCTCTGTCTCATGAGGAGCTGGAATAACAGGCATGTACCACCACACCTGGCTTTATATTTAGAAAACCTTTATACATAAAGATAGTAAGCCGGGCGCTGGTGGCTCACACCTGCAATCCTAGCTGCTCAGGAGGCTGAGATCTGAGAATCACGATTCAAAGCCTGGGCAGGAAACTCTGTGAGACTCTTATCTCCAATAAAACACAAGAAAACTAGAAGTGGCGCTATGGCTCAAGCAGTCGAGCACTTGCCTTGAGCTAAACAGTACAGGGACAGCCCAGAGTTCAAGCCCCTGAACGAAAAACAAAATAAACAAAAAGACAGTAAGTCTTTGTGATATATTATTTTCCCTAATTTATACTGGGTTTTTCTTTACTTGCTTTTTTGTGCCATGCAATTTTTTTTGTTAGTCAAATCTATCAATTTTCCCTCACTATGGGTTTTGAATTATAGTTAGTAAAAGCTTTCCACTCCTATTTTATATGTTTTCCCATCTGGTCTCTACCCTCTAGACTCATCTGCTTCTTGGAAGTTTTTGCATTTTGTAATTTGACCTACTATAATATGTCTTTTTTGGAATGATACAATGCTTTTTTTTTTTCCTGATAATTTTCCTGGCTTTGAAATTTCTGCCTAAAATTAATAGCTACTTTTTGTGGTTGTTGGTGGTTGTGGGGCTTGAACTCGGGGCCTAGGTGCTGTCCCTGCGCCTCTTTTTGCTCCAGGTTTGTGCTCAAGGCTAGTACCCTACTACTTTGAGCCACAGGGCTACTTCTGGTTTTTGAGTGGTTAATTGGAGGTAAGAGTCTCACAGGGGCTTTTCTGCCCTGGCTGGCTCCAAACCACAATCCTCAGATCTCAACCTCCTAAGTAGCTAGGATGACAGGTACTTTTGTTTTCTTTTGATGGTGTTCACATATTTTATTTTTCTCCATCTATTTACTTGAAATCTATATATCTTTATATTTGAGTGAGTTTCTTGTGGGCAACAGTTAGTTGAATCTTGGTTTTTGATTCAATTCAACAATTCTTAACATTTTAATTGGTGCATTTAAAACCACTGACATCCAAAGTGATTGCTGGTTTAGTTTTTTTTTTTTATTATTTACCATATTTTCATTTTTGCTTTACTTGGTTCCTAGTTTTGTCTTTCACTGATTTGCTCTCTGTGGATTCTATTGAACATTTTATTCCATTTCTTTTTTGTTGGTGGTGGTCATGGAGCTTGAACTCTGGGCCTGGGCACTGTCCCTCAGCTTTTCAGCTCAAGGCAAACACTCTACCATGTGAGCCACAGCGCCACTTCCAGTTTCCTGGTTTATTGGAGATAAGAGTCTCAAGGACTTTCCTGCCTGGGCTGGCTCTGAACTGTGATCCTCAAATCTCAGCCTCCTGAGTAGCTAGGATTACAGGCGTGAGCCACTGGCACCCGACTGTATTTGATTTTTTTTTTCTTTTTTTGTTGGTTGTGGGGCTTGAACTCCGGGCCTGGGTAGGGTGGCACCTGGTTGTGGGGTCTTCAATGTGGAAGAGAGGAAAGGGCCAGGCAGCCTTCTGGGAGGGGGGACATGGAGTAGGGACTGAGGGTGAAGTGGGTGCTGCTGCATCTGAAAGGCTGGGCCGACCCCTCACTCCTTACCCAAGGCGCCGTCCCCCTAGAAAGGCCCTGTGCTGATCAATAACGTCTACAACTGCCACACCCTTTCCGGCATGCCTCCCCAAGGAGCCCAGGCCACCGGCCAGCCTGCACGTAAGGCCTGAATACCATGTGGGAGTGTAGAGTGAGAGGGGATTTTTTTTCTTTTAATCTTTGATTTTTCTGAGTTTGTCCTCTGAGGCTCCTGAAGCTGTGCTGTAGTGTCTAAGGTGAATCTGCAGGAAATTCTCACTTGTTACTGCCTTCAGCATTGCTTTTCCTCCTGTTACAGCTCCTGATACTGTCGCTGTGCGTGTCATACCTTTTGTACCCCTCTCACAGTCTCTGCATGCTCTGCTTTCTTGTTTTCAGCTTCACTCCCTTTGCTTTTCAGTTTGAGATGCTGCAGTAGTTGTGTTCCTCCCTAATTCATGCTGAAACCTCATCCCTCTTCTGATTAGACTAAGAGTTGGACCTCTGGGGAAGTGATGAAATCATGAAGCTTTCTTCCCCATGAGCATGACTAAAGCCCTTACTGAAGAGGTGTCAGAGGGCTGCCTGGACCTTTCCTCTCCTCCACATTGAGGACCCCACAACCAGATGCCATCTTAGAAGCCATCTTACCAGATGATCATGTGCCTTGGCCTTGGTCATCTTTTCACATCTACAGCTGTAAGACAGGAGTGCCTACTGCTTATAAACCACCTGGTCTGAGGTGTACATAAACTGCCTGGTTTCAGTGTCTTGTTATGGCAGAATGGACTGTATTGGGCTTTACTGATATAGCCTTAAGTTTGAAGGGTTTGCCCTGAGTAGCGTCTTGACTGCTATTAAAACATTGGAGCGGGAATGCTAGGAAGGTAAAGAAGGCATTACTGAAAGAGGCAATGAGCAGGACAGAGGGGCTCGTGAGAGTCACAGCCAGCCCAACATGAGGTACCTTCTGGAAAGTGAGGGGCAGGATAAGAAAGAGGGGCTAAACCCTAAGGCACCATCTGCTGAGGTACCAGGGCAAAAACGAGGCACTACACTCTAGTGATGTCACTGGGAACTGGGGTACAGTTCTGTCTTTGTTACATCAAAGTCCCTTGCATTTTCAGGGGTTCTCAGACAAGCAGAAGATACTAGACCACTTAAAAAACTGACAACCCTTGAGCTTTTCATGTGGGGGAAATTAATTTTTATCCAAAGTAGTTGAATTTTCTGGTTAACTGGAGATAGGAGTATCACAGACTTGCTTGTCTAAGTTGGCTTTGAACTGTGATCTTTGGATCACAGCTCCTGAGTATCTAGGATCATAGGCACAAGGCCCAGCACCCAGGTTCTAGGGGCCGCTTCTGACGTTTTGACTGTGGCTTCTTGTGCCTAGGCTTCCTGACTGGCTCTGGTCCCCTTCATTCCCCCACGACGAGACACACCATCCTCCCTGGTGGCAGCCTTGGGTTGGGGTGGTGGACTCTCGTGCCTGGACTCTGCTGCTAGTCATAGCCATATTGAATGCTCCAGCAACTCAACTTGGTTCCAGAAACTAGGTTACCAGAGCAGACGGGGCTGCCCGAGTCCCGGCTACAAGTTGTTCTTCTTAAGCTTGTGACTCTTCATTTCACAAGCCTCGCTGTCCCCTCAGCCCTCACCTCCCACACTGGGCATCTAAAAGCATCTTTGTTTTATAATGCCGTAGGTAAAGAGCTTTGTATCTGACAAAGGCTAGGGTGAAATGGACTGCTTCTCTCAAACCGAGTCTATACCAGTCCCAGATCCAAAAGAACAGACAGCTAGAATTGAAATCTTCAATAATGAAGATGGTTCAGGGAAGCAGTGCTTACGGGTAGTTATGGCCATGTCCAACCTTTTCACTGTCTACCTAGTAACAGCCCCTGAGCAGGTGGTCACCCTGGGCTCAGAACATCGCAGTGGCAGAGATGGCCAGCACTTGCAGACATGGCAAAACAGCTCATGAACCATGAACCTGTGCGTCTGACTCAGTGGTGTGAGATAGCAGAGAAAAGAGCCCGAGAATGTGGGGCATGCTTCTTAGAGGAGGGGTTGAGAAGAGTCTCTGGGGAGGCGGCTGGAATGGAGCCTTGGGAAAGCAAGGGAGAAGTGCTCAGTGTGGGCCTTGCAGGGAGGGTGCAGGAGGACGGAGATATTAAGGAGCAAGTGAGGCTGGGGCCCTGCGTGGGCAGCAGTGAAGACTCTCCATTGTGTCACCTGCAGTCTGGCCACAGGGTGTCATCTGAAGCGAAGGGCCTGACTTGTTCAGCCCCTAGGCTGTCCCTGCAGGCATACACTGTAGATGCCCTTTCTCAAGAGTGCTTCCAGCCTTGATCAGCTCAGACATGGCATAGCAGAGACAGACTTGGTTAGCAGATGACCAATGGAGGGTCCAGACCGAAAGTCAGGTAGCCAAACCACATAGCAACAATCCCAGTCAGTGTCCATATGTGCAATGAATGAATGGGCCAATAATATTCTATCTCTTTAAAGTGCAGGTTGGCTTTTAGTCCCCCTTGGTATATGCAATTCTGACGTAAGTGAGCTAACATGTCTTTCTTGCTATGATTTCAATTATTGTGTGGGAAAAGTAGGTCCTTTAGAAACATGTTGCAGCTGCAGATGGCACACAAAAACTGTGTTTAGTGAGATCTTGTTGCATGACAACCCACGTGACGGGCCCTGTTGGAAAATGTCTTCCCAACCCTCCATCTCCATGCCTGCCTCCACGGCTCACCTGAGGCATACTGTGAGTGTGAGGCGATGGCGCCCTCTCACCTTATGCCTGTGGTCCTGGTATGCCTTTTCCCAGGCTCGCTGCAGATCTGCACTGGCAGGGGCTCTGTACATCTCAGGTTGTAGGCTTCTGTCTGAGAAGAGCAGACTCCTGTGCAGAAGCAAGTCTGTTTGTATGGCCACATGACCGTTGCCACGGAGCCGGGCAGGAGGAGCCCAAGCCCGCCAGTGGAACTTCCAAGCAGTGGGTTGGGATGGAGAGAAAAATGAACTCATAGTCCACTCTAGCAGGTGATAGTTCAGTGTTGCTGTTTTGAGGAATCCTACTAAGATCCTAGCCTCAAGGGAAGAAAACATGATGAACAAGGCTTGAAGAACTTGTCCTCTGTCCACAGGAACAGCTCTCTTCTACTAGCATGCCTAGCCCTCACTTCTTGTTCCCCCTTTACTCTGCCTTTTCTCCCTTCCAGTCCTTTCCTTTTTGAATTTTTGCCTTTCTTTAGGCCTCCTCATCACTTTACTGCCCTACCCTGAGCTTCTTTTTGCTCAAAGCTATTGCTCTACCACTTGAGCCACAGCCCCACTTCCAGAGTAGTTTATTGGAGATAAGAGTCTCACTGACTTTCTTGCCCCTGCTGGCTTTGAACTATGATCTTCAGATCTCAGCCCCCCGAGTAGCTAGGATGACAGGCATGAGCAACCAGTGCTCAGCTCTGCTCTACCTTTAAACTAGTTATAATAACTTAATGTTTCAGCTTAAGCAATTCTCATTTTAAAACACTGTGTGGATCAGTTATAGACAGTGTTTTTTTTTAAATAATTTAAGCCATTTCCCTCTCCATAGCTTTTATTTGGCTGTAATAAGGTTTCCTGTGATAAACTTAATTTGCAGTCTACAAAAAAAATCAGCCTATGAAGTCCTCTGGTTGTTTCTATTTGGTCATGATACAATCAGAGGAATTGGTTAGGATCAAAGTGACAATGTTTTATTTCAGAATTCTATCCCCTTTATAATATTACAATTTCAAAAACTTTGGATTGCAGAATTAATGATGGAGACTCATTGTTCAGCTTTGTGTAAATGAAGAATAAATGGGACATTTTGTGTGGAGTTATATTCCACATAATAGAATAATTCAGCAGCTGTAAATCTGAAAAAGTACACAAGTTTAGATTGACTCAGATTTAAGGTTAATAAGGTGTGAATGAAACCAAGCTGTGACCATTTCTGAACACACTTAGCCATCAGAAGAACCATCGCTTTTGGATGGTTCTCATGATTACCAAATGTTTGCAGAAGACTTCATGGACTGATTTTTTTTTTTGTCAGTCGTGGGGCTTGAACTCTGGGCTTAGGTGCTGGTCCCTGTGCTCTTCAGCTCAAGGCGAGTGCCCTACTGCTTGAGCCATAGCGCCACTTCCAGTTTTCTAGTGGTTCTTATTGGAGATAAGAGTCTCACGGACTTTCCTGCCTGGGCTGGCTTTATAACTGCGATCCTCTGATCTCAGCCTCTTGAGTAGTTAGGATTACAAGCGTGAGCCACCGGCGCCCGGCTTGGACTTATTATTTTTTGGTGTATTGCAAATTTAAAAATTGCTTGACATGTTACTAAAAATGAGGTTTTTAATTTTTTTTTACAAGTATTAGCTCTTAGAAAATCATGGCTATCCAGTAGAATATAGATGTAATAATCACTACCTAAAAAACACAACCAGTACTCTTAGGACATAAGGTTCAATTAAGGGACCTTAGCCTATAAAATCTATATCTCATATTCCCAAAATTCTATTAAATAGTTGATTTCTCTTATCCTGTTAGTGTCATTATTCTAGAGCAAGGGCTAGGAATGTAACTTAGTGTTAGAGTTCTTGCCTAGCATGCATGAGGCCTTGGATTTGAGTCCTCAGTACCACATACACAGAAAAAGCCAGAAGTGGTGCTGTGACTCAAGTGGTAGAATGCTAGCCTTGAGCAAAAAGAGCTCAGGACAGCACCCAGGCCCTGAGTTTAAGCCTGAGGGCTGGCAAAAAAAAGCAAAAAAACGAAAAATACAAACAAAAAAATCTACAACAAATCCACTATTCAGGACATACCTAGTGAACACTTGCTAGCAAGTGATAGAAATAACAATGTTGGTATTGTGTGATTCCTTTGAGGAGACATTGTATAATTCTGGGTTCTTGTATTTCTCCCAAGTTTCCAACAATACTCAATATAACACCATCTACAGAGTAGCGGATGCTTTGTTCAGCTTAGCGTGCTCACTCGTACGGACAACACATGAGTTAGGAGCAAGCTGGATGAAACATGTGATATGGCATTTGCAGGCACTGTCCTGGGCATACCGGCCAACATAGTGAACTCAGGGAAGCCACCCTGACCCCAGTCACCTAGATCCCAGTCTGTACTAGCTTTTTAGGGAACAATCTCCTAGTTCATATGGCTGTTTTATGTGTGTCGTGGCAGGACCTGGGAAAGTTAGGCACACCTCCAGAGAACTTAGACAACCATCCTAAGCCATGCAGCCAGCCTTTCAGACATTTGCCAGATGTAAATAAAGTCTGATTCTAGACACGGCCAACAGCTCCTAAAGCTCATGTCTGTCTTGAAGACAAGGCTAGAAACACTGAGCTGAACATATCAGAGAATCACTCATATAGGCAGAAAGAGGGAAAGTCTGGAGTTGAATTAATAGTAGCAATGCTGGTTTCCACAAATATACTAAGGTGCCAGGACCCAATTGTAGTTCACATCACATTTTGTGGTTTTTATTTTTATTTTATTATTATTTTTTGGGGGGGGGGTCTGGTCGTGGAGCCTGAACTCTGGGCCTGGGCGCTGTCCCTCAGCTCTTCAGCTCAAGGCTAGCGCTCTACCACTTGAGCCACAGCGCCACTTCCGGCTTTTTTTTCTTTTTGCTTATGTGGTGCTGAGGAATCGAACCCAGGGCCTCATGCATGCAAGGTAAGCGCTCTACCACTGAGCCACCTTCCCAGCTCCTTGTGGTTTTTATATTAGATAGAGAATCTTCTCCATTTTGAGCTAGGTTTGGGTGTTTTTTTTTTTTTTTTTTTTGTCGGTCGTGGGGCTTGAACTCTGAGCCTGGGCGCTGTCCCTCAGCTCTTCAGCTCAAGACGAGCGCTCTACCACTTGAGCTACAGGGCCACTTCTGGTTTTCTGGTGGTTTATTGGAGATAGGAGTCTCACGGTCTTTCTTGCCCGGGCTGGCTTTGAACCTCGATCCTCAGATCTCAGCCTCCTGAGTAGCTAGGATTACAGGCGTGAGCCACCAGCACCCGGCTGGTTTGGGTGTTTTATGTTGAAAAATTTCTATGAATAGCCTACAGAAAATAAAAATTTATTTTTTGCTTTACTATCCAGATAATACCTGTGTGTTTGGCCTCAGCCTTAATGTTTTGGCCCAATATTAGCTTTTTCTTTTCCTGGGCTGAGGCATGAACTCTGGGCCTGGGCACTGTCCCTGAGCTTCTTTTTGCTCAAAGCTAGTGCTCTACCACAACTCCACTTCCGGCCTTTTCTGTGATTAATTGGAGATAAGAATCTCATAGGCTTTCCTGCCCAACCTGGCTTTGAACAGTGATCCTTAGATCTCAGCTTACTAAGTAGGTAGGATTACACCAGTGACCTGCACCAATATTAATTTATTGCTTATTATGTGTCCTTAATTATAAAACACAAGTTTTGGCCAGGCATAGTGGCTCATGGCTGCAATGTTATATTTCAGAGGACTGGAATCCAACAGAGGATGTTTGACTCAGAAGAGAGCCAGAATTAATGACAGGAAACCTGAGGCTGTAGCTCTATGGGAGAACATATGTGTACCTGACAGGAGGCTGTGCAGAAAGCCTCTCCTCTGACTCGCAAGGTGGTAAGCCCAACAGAGAAGGTTAGAAGTTGTCTCTTAACCTATGTTAGCATCTTGGGGAAAAACTTCATTTGTTATAGGTAAGAGTAAGTGATATTGTTATCAAAGCAGTGACTATCCAGGCTCTAAGGAATTAGTTGGCAGTTGGTTTGCAACAGAGAGGAGGCCTCTGTCCGGCCCTTGGCTACTGAGTTCTTCATGTTGCCCCCAAACAGAATTTGAGGATGCACTGAGGTATAGCTCAAGGAAATTTATCACAAAGTGAAGATAGAAAGACAGTGCCCAGCCCAGATACAAGTGCAGACACATCTGAAAGCAGATGTAGTGTATACTGGTGAAAACAAGGTTGGAAGTTTGACAGACTCATGTAAGGTAAGTGCTCTCTTTTGGTCTGAAACCTGCTACATTTAGTCATTTGGACTGTTGCACTGTTTTTTAATCAATTAAGCCAGAGTATTGAATAATGTTGTCCTGTTTGCTAAATTTGGGTCATTCATATGTGGGCATCTCTTGAAATAAAGGATTTTGCACATACTCCCCTCAAGACAGCGCACACACCAAACAAACTATAACCGAACAAAGTTTGAGACCAACCAAGAAGAGTAAAACTTTAATCATCTACAAGAGAGAAAAAAAAGTCACTCAGCAGTGACTTTTCCAACATGGCACTGGCTGAGGGCTTTCCCAGTTTTTCCTTCTTTTGTCTTCCTTTTTTTTTCAGCTACCCTCGGCAGCTCAGCCTCCAGCAGACAGCAATGCACGTGGAATGAGAAAATACAGCCACAGCAGCCGGTGCTAGGCCACCACTGAGACAAAGGACCTCCAAAGATTGCTACGGGACTTGGTAAGACTTCCTAGTGTGTGAACATCAGCACCAGGCTGAGGCTGGTTAGCATCGGCTGTACTGGTCTGTAAAGATTGAGACTTATCACTTCTCAAAGTTTCTTACTTCATTAGTGTGGAACACAAGGTCTCTCTTTCCTTCTTTTTACTATTCTAGTCTTATACCCTCATCCCTTATCATCTTCTCTTTCTTTTTCCTCTTCTCCTATCATCTTGGATTTCCTGTCCCCACTGATCTCTCTCACAAACTATTATTCCCTTTCCACCTTCCCTTGCCCTAGAACCCTAACCTTCCCAACGGATAGTTGAGCTCTAGCATCACTGTGTTGCACCACAGTGGAACTTAATACCTAAGCTGAACAACAGTCTCTACAAACCCAGAAC